CAACTGACTGTCCGGTCTGTTAAGACCTACTGTACTGTTTTGCTATTGGATGTATCACATATAACTGTTATGGTTTCTGAATGACTGATATACTGTTATAACTGACTGATTTAAATACTGAAAGGACATTCATTCTTAATCTCTTTACGCATATGTTATTCACTGGGCTTTAGCTTACTGTGTATATATATATGTAGGTGTCCAGGCACCGGATCAAAGCTAGGAGCGTTGGGTTAAACTCCCTTTTTGTCAAGCCAGCCACTGTGCCTCATTGAGAGGTTCCAAGTCCTTCAAGCTAGGGCCTTTTGGGGTGTTTTAGATCTCCCCTTTCTGTTTCTGTTTTGTATAGACTGTATAGACTTGTATTATACTGTTATGGTAGGGATTTGGTCCCTAACCCGAATGCCTGTATATGATGTATGTACATACTGTTTTGGTTCTAAAGGTGAATATGTATGAAAAGTCTTTTTGCATACAGACTGTCACAGCTTATTGGACATCTTTTAGTTTTGGCTTCCGCCAGCCCCTGTACTCTGTATTACTGTTATTACTGTTAAGTAGGCCTTTGGTAATCACGGATTATTGGCTAGTTACGGTGCTAAACCCATAGGGGCGAGTTTGGGTCGTGACAACAACACAATTTATTATGCTAATGAAACAATTAAATAATTAAACGCATTTGTTAAGAGCATAATGGAAGAGGGAAGGAGGTTGTATGCGCATCGCTTGAAAGCTACTCTGTTTGCCCAGGCCATCTATGTTTCACCTTCAGCCACTGCCTCTATTTCTGTAAAATTACACTATTAGCCACACACCAAGGGTCGACCGTGCATCACTGATGGTTGGCCGGGTATACAGATGGTCGGCCGTGTATCAATTTGGTGCAAAAGCTCTGTTTTTGTACTTTGAGGTGAAATTAGTGCAGATAGAGTATTTTTAAGCTCTGTTTATCCTTCATTCCTTCTCTGTCATGGGAAAGCCTCAAGAGAAGGTTGTGATTGATTCCAAAACCATCAATGAGCAATATGATTACTTAATGATCTCAGATATCATTTTGGACAAAAATCAATAAATATAATACAAATAATCATCCATCCATTTTGTCATGCAATGAACTCAAAAAAAGGAGTTGAGACGCTTCAAGGACATCAAAAACACTATGAATTGATGCTTGATGACCCTTGACACAAGAAGCTTGGCATAATGTCCGCCCAAGTTCAAGCTATTGCGCCATTTTCTTTAAGTGTGGTAATCCAAGTTTTAAGCCAATTGTTTTAGTCGTTGCCATTCATTAGTCCATTTGTCCAAATGTGATGTTAAAGTCCTCTAAACAAAAAATAATGTCAAACAAGAGATTCTTCTAAGACATGACAGGGAGACTACACCGTTGACGATGAATCTCTAAAGAGATTAAGCCATTAAGTGTAGGCTTCCTTTACATGTATTGAACGACCTCAATTGGTTGAAACCATTCTCAAGAATGAAAGATATGGATGGTTGATTGATTAATAAACTTAGACTCCAAACATGGAAAATGAACAAGAAAATATAACAAGTATGCCAACTTATGAGACCACAAGTGTATTAAACAAGGCATGAACCAATTGAAAAGGCCTAGACAACCTCAAAACAACCCTTAATACATGAAAATCAGAGGTAAAACATGCATAAAAAGAGCTTGAAAAGCTAGATAATAAAGAAGAGAATTAAGGCTAGTAAGCAAGGATAAGGAGGGGTGGCTACCCCTCCACTTTTGAAGCTTCAAAACATGGTTTGTAGCCTTTCTAAATCTCTGAAAATTAGTGAAAATAACAGAGGAAAAGAGTGGAAAAGAGAAGGTTTGAGTTATAAATAAAGGTATAGAAAGAGCAAGCTCTCTCTACCCTTTTGGCAACTCTTCAAGCCCAACTGCAATCACTTCAAATGAGCTCAAAACAATTCAAAACAGTAAGAACTATGAAGTGAGTGATAGAAATGAAGACAAGAGAGAAGAATACAAGTTTGTACCTTTTAAGGGGTAAGCTTGTTGTTGATGCTTCAAACTTGGTTTCAATGCACTTTCAAGCTTGAATTATACCTCTCCAAGATCAACCAAGGCTCTAGGGTGGTAAGACAAGGTTGTGTATGGTGTATAGAGGTGGTACAAATAAGCTAGGTTAGCTCAAAGATGACTTGCAATGGAAGAAAGAGGAGATTAGAGCTCTCAAGGTGTATATATGACTTATAGATTTTTGTTCAACCCTCAAACACAATCCCAAAGCTTCGGTTTTATAGAATTCGAACTCAGAAGGTGATAAATATCTTCAAAAATGAACAGCTAGCGGCCTTTCGCCCAGAACAGTATTTATCGCCATTGAGGGCCAACCGGCCATCACTAATGCATGGCCGAACCTTGATGGCCTCCCCTACTTTTTTGGTTCAAACTCAGCTCAGGGTAGGAAAAGGTCCAAAAATGAAACTCATGCGTTCAAACAAGGTAAATGTTGAAGATTCGAGGTTATTTCCGAAGCCTGATTGATTCCGAATCGCTGCGAATTCATAATTCAATTTTCATCATTGAGTGCATTGAACCAAGCGTCTGAGTCTTGCGGGCGGTCAAAAATGGGATTACTACAGTAATGAACAGTGACTTGATGAAATACACATTGATCCTCAGTTTGATGAAAGAAAAAGTGAAATCCTGAATTTGATACCGATTTAATGAAACTGTTAGAGCTGAAAAATGAATAGTTTTTCATCAAATTCAAACTTAATGATAAGTTTGATACACGTTTAGAGATAGTCTTACTATCAATGATCAAATGATCATTTTACGTAAAAATAAATAATGATAATAATAATAATAATAACAACAACAACAATAATAAATACAAAACATACTTGTACGGGGAGCAAATATTCCACAATGCCCGTACTCCTTTCGTCCAAGCTCCGCTTCTATCCGATCAACCTGCGAACGCAACGACGGTGAGCTACCCGGCGGTGTGTTGCCGGAAAACCCCTCTGACGGTCAAGTTAGCACACACACTCAGAGATAGAGAGAGGATGAGAGTTGAATGTTTAGGTTTCTCTCACCAAATGATGTTCCATCCTTAGCATGGAGGGCACAGTCATGCTTATATACTTTCTACGCCTAACTCTGCACCCATTAGCCTATTGACACGTAGAGTTGCTCTTCCATCTGTCAGCACAAATCCAGCTAACACCACCTAATCAAACCGCCAGACAACATTTGCGGGCACAGGGCAGCCCAACGGCATCACCTCGGCCTCATACGACCGTGCTACGTAATGAGTTCGAGGGCGCTGCTTGCCGAGATCCATCACAACCGAGCTCAGTTACATTCCGACAAGACCGAGTTCCAAATAGGTTAAGCTGATACTCAGAAGACCTTTCCCACCGAGCTAAACTTGCTCCCACGAAACCCGGGTTAGTAGACAATCATCTTGGCCAAACTAGCTCTGCCCAAACATAGGACCTGGACCTCGGCCGAGCAAGACCAATTTCGAGGAAGCTCCAGTTAGCTTGGCCTAAACATGGGACCTAGGCCTCGACTGAGCAAAACCAACTTGGATAGGCCCAAGTTAGCTCGGCCTAAACATGCTCGGCCGTCTTTCTGTCCGGCTTCCACAATGGCCTAAAGCTAGATTATAAATCTCCCTCTCAATACTTAAAATAAAAATACATGAGAAAAGTTTAAAAAAATCATAAATGCATCAAACAATGGCATTGTTTGAAAAGTGGGTTGGCCTTTTTGACTTTTTGACTATTTTAGCCTGGGGCTAAAAAGTTTGATTTGAGAAAGACTTTTGATTTTTTTGATTTTTTTTGTGAAAGAAAGAATATAATGATTATGGATTGGATGTGATATTTTATCTTATTAGACTAAAAGCTTATTTTATTTTTTGTAAAAATCCTCAAATCCAATTTTGCAAACATAGGCAATATAATTTTTTTCACTGACTCATTTATTAGTGTCATCGTTTGGCAATAGATTTTTTTACATTGATTTTTTTGCTATTTTGGCCTCTTTTGAGAAGAGAGTTAAAAGTTACTTCTTAATTTTTAATCAATTTTGGGTCACATCATCTCTCACATTTTTTTATGCATTTAAAAAAAAAAAAATCAAAAAGTTAATTGTTAACCATCTTCTTAAAACACTCCTTTAGCTTATGACTAAAAGTTTATTTGACTTTTTTGACTTTTTTTTCCCTTCTTTGCAAGGGAAGAGTTATAATTTAAATGACTTGCAATGGAAGAAATTATTAATTTATTTAATTTATTTTATCTTTTCTATTTTTTATGCTAAAAAATTGATGGTCAAACAAAGCCTGAGTCAATAAACTAATGGTAAATAAACTTTAATGTCTTAAATGCAACAAATAGTAAAAGTGGTGTGAATCTAAATGGAGCCATTCAAGATTAACTCGAAATTTTGAAATTTGAGCAATATAGTTACAAATTTGGTTAAACCTAGGACTAAAATTTGTTAGTCCAAATTAAATTAAAAATACTATTAAAAAAACAAACATACAAAAAAAATTGAAACAGTTCTTAAATTGAAACAGTTCTTGAATAAGGATATTCGCCATTTGAGAAATTCGAATTATATTATTAATATATATATATATTTATTTTATATATCAAACATGAAATATTATAATTCGTAGATTATTTTTCACACCATACACATAATTAGTTTGGGAAGATTAAATAAGTGTATTTTTTGACTTTTTATGAAATATGTGTTGAGTTTGGGTTGAGTTTGAAGTGATGTGTTAGAGAGGTGATGTGACTTAAATAAGATGATGTGACTTAAATAGGATAGTGATTTTTTGACTTTTTGTCATTTTTGTCTCATGTCAAACTTAGCCTAAATTAATTTTTTTTTATTATGGTTGTGATTATATTTTTTTTAATTTTTAAAAATTCAAAAAATATAATAAATTAGTTCTAGTGTTGAAGTTGGATGATAGATAAACCCACGCAATCACACCAGTTTACACGCCCCAACACCGCGCGTAGAATAGCATCGGCCTAACCTAAAACTTAAGGTACTGTGACCTCTCTTCTGCCCTACAAAAAAAAGTAACCCCACCTTTGTCTGACTGTCTCTCTCTCTCTCTCTCTCCCTCTCCTCTGTCTGTTTCTCTCTCTAACCCATCATCTGTCTCGGCGCAACCCAGAAAACCACCCAAATACAACCCACAAAAATCCCCTCAATCAAGGTCCCCATCTTAGCCTTCTATTCCCACATCCACGAAAAAACATGAAGATGAGAAACAAAGGTAAAGTATACCCATCACCTTCCTCATCATCTTCTATGTCTTCTTATACTGCAAATAGGGACTCTCTCTCTGTACTCAAGGTCTTACCAGCTGCTATTCTAGCTCTGGTCTCAGTTCTCTCTCTTGAAGACCGAGAAGTGTTGGCATATATGATAACGAGGTCGATGAAATCAACAAACCCTTCTGCGATTGTTGAAGAAAAGAAGAAAAACAAGAAATCGAACACCCACAAGCCTCCGATCTTCGATTGTGAGTGTTTCGACTGTTACACGAGTTTCTGGTTCAGGTGGGACTCTTCGCCTAACCGTGAACTCATTCACCAAGCCATTGAAGCCTTTGAAGAACACTTGGCGAGCGAAGAACAGTCGAAGAAGAACACCAGAGGTAAGAAGAGAGAGAAAATGGGTCGCCGAGCAACCGAAAGACCGGCCGATGTTTTGGAAACTATGGCGGTGGAGAGAGAGGCTGATTTTCTGGAGAGTGAAGATAGTTTTGTGGTGGTTTTGCCGGAACATGACTCTACTCTGGTGGTGTTACCCGAAAAAGCTGAGGTGGAGGTGGAGGTGGAGGTGGAGGAAGAGGAAAGGAATGAATTGCCGGAAGAGGAGGCGGCGCCGCCGGAAGCGGCGGTGGTGTTGCGGAGCTCGGCGGCGAACAACCACAAGGGTTTGGCGAGGAAGGTACTGCCGGACGTGGTAGGGTTATTGAATTCACGTTTGTGGAGTCTTTGGAGTCCGAGTGCTTAGTGGAAGAATTTTTAATTTTTTTTTAACTGGGGGCTTTTTTGAAAGAAAAAAAGTTTTATATTTTGGTGTTGTTGGGTTATATTCGCACTCGAATATATATATATATATATATATAAAATTTTTCCCAAAGAAAGAAAATCTTATTTTTGGCCAACTTTCGAAGCTCCAACAGTTTGCAAAAAGATGTGGAACAAGGCTTATGAAGGGTGAAACGAAAATTAGGCCATAAGGTGAATCCAAAGACGCAAAAATGAGGCAAAACGGAGTTATGACGAAGGAGATACAAGTACTTGAACATGTGTATTTGAATCAGAAAATTTTGCCGAAAGAGAAAAAATCTTATTTTTTTTCAACTTTCGGAGTTTTAACGGTACACAAAAAGAGGTAGAACAAAGCGTATGAGAAATGGAATGTAAACTAAGCAATGAGGTGAATCCAACGACGCAAAAATGATGCGAAACGGAGTTACGACGAGGGAAATTCAAGTGTTTGAACATATATATTTGAATCTGAAAATTTTATCCAAATTTCGTTAGTTCAATTAAACGGATATAGACGGAGGAGGGTTCACATTTGAAACACAGAAGAAATTTCAGAATTTAATTTGTCAAAATTGAAACTATAGAGTTTAATTTGAAAAACAAACACTGAAGTTTTTTTTTTTTTTTCTTGTAATTTCCCTTTTTTTTCCGCCACGTGTAATTTATTAAATTCAAATATCTAACGGTTGGATCCTCTGCCTGCGACTTGGACATGGTTAGTCAAACTCCTAATTCTCACTCACACAATGGCCTTATTTGTGAATGTGGTTATTTTAATGGATAAATTATAAATACATTTTATGAGATTTGTTTAAAATATGAATTATTTTTTGTATTTTAAAAAATTATAAATATCTTTTTATTAGAATTTTTTATTTAACCGAATTAATTAAAAAAAATAAAATTTTTAATTATTTATCTATACAATAATAAAATTATTTGAATTATTAATTAAGATAAAATTTTAACGTTATTAAAAATAATTAATTAATTTAATAATTGAATAATAAAATGGTTTATTTATTGTAAAATTAAAAATTTAAAGGATATAATATAATTTTTAAAATTATAAAAATAATTTATAATTTAAATAAATTAGAGAAAATGGGTTTGAAATTTATTGAATGTGGGATGCGATTTTCTATGCTTTCTTTTGATTCTTTCTTTTTTTATTTTTTTTGGCTCAATGATTTAGAAGTAATAATGGTCTATTACTGCTAAAAAGTAAAGAAGTACTGAGGCTTATTTTTGGAAAGATGGTAAAAAGTGATTTTTTGACTTTTAATAAAGTTTTTGATTTTTTTAGACAAATGATTTGGGAAGTTGATAAAATGTGATTTTTGATTTTTTTGATTAATGTTTGTTTATGATGTCAAATCATAATAAAATGACTAAACTACTCCCATTTATTTAAAATATTTACAACTTCACCTATCTAACACATTTTGACCCATGAGGGAAAAATTGTAATTTTACCGTTGGCTAAAAACTAACTTTCCAAATAAAAAAAAAAGGCAAAAAAGTCAACTTTTGATTTTTTCTACAAACTAAAAAAAGTGACTAAAAGTTAACTTCCCAAAATAGCCCTAATTTAACTTTGGACTTGAGCACCACACTATCGTTTGTCTTATATGTCTGGATTATAAATAAAGATTAATGTCGTATAAATAATTAACTCAAATAATGGGAGTGTTTGTTTGGATTTTTTAAGTTACTTTATAGTTTTTAGCCTTAAAAAAATTATTTTGAATTGTTTGTTTAAATTTTTTTTAAATAGTTTTTGATTTTAATAATTTATTTTAACTCAAAAAAATTAATTCTGAGAAGTTTCTCATCCATTTCTTTTGATTATTAATTTCTGCTGTGGACATGTTAATTTACTGTTATATTCTTAAATTTTTTATTTTATTTTATTTTATTTTTTTAAATAGAAAAAAGATCCAAATGAACTATAGACTATATTATTATTTTTTAGGAAAAATATAGATAATTAGTGAATAATATAAAATAAAAGTTAATTGAAAAAATTATTTCACAACTTATTTAACAAATACCACTTACCAACTTAAATTTATGATAAATTACACTGACACCCTGAGCTTTGTGTTTATTACAGTTTTCTCCCACTTTTTAAAAATTACATCTCCCTTCTTGAGGTTTAAAGTTTTATTAAAAATTTCCCCCTTCAACATTTTAATTTTTTTAAATACTAATTGTGTCCTCACTGTTTAAATTACATTGACATCTCTCACATTTTAGAAATTATAATCCCCTTTCTAAGGTTTAAAGTACCATTACCAATTGCCCACTCAGTTAGTATTAGTTGGAACAAAATTGATTGAAAAAAAAATTATTTTTTATTAGTAAAATTTTTAAATTTCAGTTTAAAAATTAACGTAAACTCATTTTTTGAATTTGCGTTTTTTTTTTCAATTTTACAAATTGAGACAATCATTTATAAACTTAAAAAATTATCAAACAAGTTTTTATGGCAGTTTTTTAAATTTTTGTAAATATAATTGAAAATTAAAAATGAAATGACTATCAAACAGGTTTCAAATAGTAAAAATATTGTAAAATTAACAAGTAATTAAATAAGTTACGTGCGTAAAAAACTACTTATCAAAAGATTTTTAGGTTATGTATGGTTTGATTTTTAGATTTTTTTTTTAAATTAAAAATTAATTTGGTTAAGAAATAAGAAATAAAAAATAATTATCATTTTTATATAATTTTTATCTTTCAAGTGGCTAGAAATATTTTTGTACAAATTAAATTAAAACAGTCATACGTATGTATATAATTTATCCAAAAGTTAAAATGATAATTATTTTTTACCTTTAAATGCTAATTATTTTTTATTTTTTATTTCTTAACTAAATTAATTTTTAATTTTTAAAAATCAAACAATACATAGTCTAAAATTTTTTTGATAAGTCATTTCTTACGTTGGTAACTTATTTAATTATTTGTTAATTTTACGACATTTTTACCATCTGAGACCTGTTTAGTAGTCATTTCGTTTTCAATTTTCAATTTATATTTACAAAAATTTTAAAAACTGTTATAAAAACTTGTTTGATAATTTTTTTGGTTTAATAATTGTTGTCTCAGTTTGTAAATTTGAGAAAAAAACGTAAATTCAAAAAATAAATTTACGTTGGTTTTTAAGCAGAAATTTAAAAATTTTACTAACAAATTTTTTTTAATTAATTTTTTTTCCAATTAATTTTTGTTTTCAATGAATTTTTTTTTCCAACTATTACTAACCGATGGGGCAATTGGTAATGCTACTTTAAACCTTTGTGAGGGAATTGTAATTTTTAAAATGTGAGAGGTGTCAATGTAATTTACCCAATGAGGGTAAAATTGGTATTTAAAAAAATTTAATTACTAAAGGGGGAATCTGCAATGAAACTTTAAACCTCAGAGCGGGAGATGTAATTTTCAAAAGGTGAAGGGGAAACTGTAATAAATATAAACCTCAGGGGGTGTCAAAATAATTTACCATTAAATCTATAATCCAATAGTTACACCAAACAGATTAACAACTTTTGATTAAAGTCATAATTTATAATCTGTTAACCTATAATCTATAATGTGTTTTAATAGCTACACCAAACGGGGCCAATGTAGTACTTTATTAGTCCGTCTGGAAGTTAATTATTTTAATAGGTAGTTATTTTTAGGGTAAATTACAAACACCCCCCTCGAGATTTGGTGAAAATACAGATTCCCTCCTGAAGTTTGAGATTTTACATCCCGCCTCTTGAGGTTTATATTTCCATAATAAATTGTCCCATGAGGTTTTTATTTTCATACAGATTCCCCCATAATTTCCCCTAATTTGTTATGAAAATTTGACATTCAAGGGGCAATTTGTAATTTTTCAAACCTCAGGGAGGAATCTGTATTTTTATCAAATCTCGAGGGGGGTGTTTGGAATTTGCCCTTATTTTTATTTGATTAAAATAGTTGTGTTTGAAAAGAATGTTCAATTTTTTTAGGTAAATGTGATGTTTGTAAAAAAAAAAAATGAAATAATTTTAACTTTAATGTGATATTTTGAAATGTTTGGCAAAATATGTTTTTTTTTTTTTGGACTAAAATAGCACTAAAATATGAGGTTAAAAAAATAATATGGCTAGGATGATTTTTTGATTTTTTTATAAAAATATATGTAAAAAGTAGAGAAAAAAATGAATATTGAACATTTTAGTATAGGTTGATGTCTTTTTGGGTTTTTAGTGACTTTTTAACTTTTAAGTTTGTAGAGGGTCAGAAATTAAGGCCCAAACTAAGTATGGGCCTAAGCACTGAGGTCGCTCCAAAGAGGCGACAAGGAACGAAAAAAGATGTGTTGGCAAAAGCCCAAGGGAAATGGGCCGAAGTAGGTCCGACCCACTAGGAGTCCAAATGGACTACACGAAGGAAAATGCCTACGTCAAGTTGCAGAAGCACTTTGCCTCAGCGCCGTCATTCCTAATATCTTCGGTTCCGCCGCCATCTGAAGTTGCTAAGGGAAAGAGAAAGTGAAAATGCAACTAAGTTGCAGAGGCAACACTTGTGACGGCCAAGTTGCGGAGGTCAAGTTGCGGAGACACTTTGTCTCAGCGCCGCCATTCCAAGTATTTTCGGTACTGCCGCCATTCCAAGTAATGTTGGTACCACAACCATCTGGAAGTTGCTGAAGAAATGAGAAAATCGAAGCAACTAAGTTGCAAAGGCAGTACTTGCAGCGACCAAGTTGTGGAGAATAGCGATTCCGGTTTTACCCCGACTTTTATTGTGTTCCGGACTCGGGTTCTGTGATTGTATGTTGTTGTCTATGTCTCATTTCCTTCCTTTAATTCTTTGAATTTGAGTTTTGTGACTTGTTAAGCGAGTTTGGAACAGCTTGGTTGCTAGTTTATAGCGATCCCGGTTTTGCTCCGACCTTCTTTGTGTCCCGAACTTGGGTTCTGTGGTCGAATATCGTATCCTTGTCTTGTTATTCTTTTTTGACTCTTTGTATTTGAGTTTTGAATTATGTTGGGCATGTTTGGAACAGGTTGGTTGTTAGTTGGTCTAGAATGTTG